AGTAGACAATTACAACTATACACAGTAGACAACTACGATCGCAACTATATACAGTGGACAATTGCAACTATACACAGTAGACAATTACTACAACACATAGTAGACAATTGCGACTATACATAGTAGACAATTACAACTATACATAGTAGACAATTACGACTATATGTAGTAGACAATTACTACTACACATAGTAGACAATTACGACTATACATAGTAGACAATTACAACTATACATAGTAGACAATTGCGACTATACATAGTAAACAATTACTTCTATACATAGTAGACAATTACTACTACACATAGACAATTGCGATTATACACAGTAGACAATTACAACTATACATAATAGACAATTACAATTATACATAGTAGACAATTGCAACTATGCATAGTAGACAATTACAACTATACACAGTAGACAATTGCGACTAAGCTTTGTAGACAACATGTACATAGTAAACAATTGCGGTTATACATAGACTTTTATGACTATACACAGTAGACAATTGTGTCTATGCACTGTATACAATACTACTGTACACAGAAGACAACTGTGTCTGTACCCAGTAGACAATTATGCTTAAGCACTAGAGACAATTACTGTTATATGCAGTAGACAATTGCGACTATGTACACTACGTATTTGATACTAATAATCACTACTGTGCACATTGGACAATTGCGACTGTACGCAGTAGACAATTGTGGCTATGTACATTAGGAAATTGTGTCTGTACACAGTAGACAATTACGATTGAACGCAATACATAATTATGATTATTGATACAATTTTCAATGTAAAATTACGAATAAATAAGTGTTATTACCGGCAAGACTTGGTGATCTCTCACGACGTTACTATCCTCATATAAATACACACCGAATCGACGTAACTTGTATTCGGGCGGTGGCAAGCTAAATGTTACCATGACAATATCATATTCCGTTGTTATATTTAAATATATTGGAGTCCAGTTCTCAGCTTTATTTGGGGAAAAAACAGAGAAATGTCGTGCACTTGGAATTACAATAATTTACATAAAAAACATCGTACCATGTTATTCATGTACTAATATATGTTAGGTCATTGGCCAGAGTAAACAGGTCATACCGGTAGATCACGTCGCAGTGAATCACCGGCGAGGGCAATCAACTTACGTTTTTCAGTCAAGGAGCACTCTGAGAATTCGGGATGTTTACTGCAAGCTGAGGACGACAAAACCAACATATTCGGTTAAACTTCGCCTTTTATGCATATTCAATAAAGTTTAGAAAGGCATTCACATTATAAGAGTAGTATCTTTAACTGCGCATGTGCATGTAGTAAGCCGCACTCAACACGAATGTTGCAACCGATTTCACAAGTTGCAAAAAATATAAATAAATCAGATCATTTCTTGGGATCGATCGTCAGTGGAATGTTCAAGTTGTTTGTATAAGATAAGATCACAGCTTCATTATTTTTCATTCAAATTGAAATAATATATCCAACCGAAAATTTACAAGTCCAAGAACACAAAATGAACGACTGAGAAGATGTTACACTACACAGCACAGTCAAACCACAGTCAGCTGGCG